AGTCTTGGGGATGTAAAGTATGGCATAGGGAATATAGCCATTAATATTGTAATAACTATGCATGGTGTCAGGTCAGTACTACACTTATTGGGGGGATCACTTTGTAAGTATATAAATGTCTAACCATGGCCTCCTGCCTGAGCTCGGGTGCCTCAGCTACTTCAGTCCAGATGCACTCACATCTGCTGCGCCAGTGTCCGCTGTGCCGGCCTCCGCTTTCCACGGTCGGAGCCATGACTCTTAATCTCACAGTCTCAGCCTCTGCTCTAGGTTTTCATGGTGGGGGTTGGGATGATCAAGGTAAACAGAGCAGCGGAACCCCGGAGTCTGGCTCCCTGCTCCGCTCTGTGCGGGTGAGGTCAGGGGAGCCCCGAGGTTACCACGAAACGGGTGGTGCAGGTCAGGGCCTGGCACTGTACAGCTGTCTCCTTCCAACCTTGAGAGCACCCAGGACATCTCACAGCCCAGCCCCTGCTTCTTGGCCCTTGAGACATCAGAGTGGTGGCTCTGGTGGGTTGTGATGTAGGGTGTCTCTGAGGGTCAGTTTGTGAAGGACACCCCAAGATTGCCCAAAGTCCACACCACCTTTGATTCTAAGTGGACATTCAAATGAGGCAAGGTCTGCCTCATGCCCAAACGGGAAGCAGGTTGTGAATGTCACCAGCTCTGCACTCCTAGGAATACTGTAATCCATGGCTTCAGTTACCTGTGGTCAACCGGGTTCCAAAATACTAAATGGGAAATTACAGAAAAGTTTTAAATTGCAGTTCTGAGTAGCATGATGAAATCTCTCACCATCCCACTCCATCCAACCTGGAATGTGATTCCTTTCTTTGTCCATTGTAGCCATGCTGTATGCCCTGTATGCATACACAGTTAGTCACTTAGCAGCCATCTCAGTTGTGAGAGAGATGGAGACCACATTCACATAACTTTTATTACTGTATATTGTTTTACTATTAGTTGCTACTGTGCCTAATTCATAAATTAAACTATCATAGATATGTATGTATAGGAAAAAAACAGTATATATGGAATTAGGTACTGTCTGTGGTTTCAGCGATCCACTGGGGGTCTTGGAAAATATACCCTACAAATAAGGGGGGACCACTGTACCCCTTGTTGGATCCCTTCTCAGGGACAGTTGGAAATATGGATGAGGAGAAATATTAAGTGATGTTCAGCGTCCTGGCACAAGTGGCCGGTTTTCTGGATCCTCCAACCTAGATTCTATTCAAGTGGTACTCTGCTTGGTACTTAGGAGGCCAGAGGCTCCTAGTCCTATTTTTTGACACTCTCACCAACCCCATGCTCTAGTGATGCTAAACTTTTTTTAGTTTCACTCCACACTGTTTTATGCCTGTTGCTTTGCTTCTGTTGTTTTCACTACTTATACCATTTGTCTTCATTTGGTTAGCTTCATCGCAATTTTCAAAGG